AAATACATAAAAATAATTAATTTAAATATGAAAATGCATATTGCTCCCTTTTAAACAAACAGAAATTAAATTAAGTTTTTTGCCTTTTTATAAAATTTAAATGAAATATTTTTATAAATGTTAAATATTAAGAAGATGTTTTAAAATGTATAACTTTTATACTTGTACTGCATAAATGTTACTCACCAATATCATTGAATTATTGGGTAATGCATTTCGTATAATATATAATGTATTATTTAATAGCTTTATTGCTGTGGATATAATGGATCTGAAGATTGGTTAGATATTACAAAGGAAATTCCTCAATCTTGTCGACCTTGGTCAAACGAAAATGTTACGTGTTCTCCTAATAACGATGATATTTCATGTGCACCTTATGAAACTGGATGTATTAAACACCTTTCAGTTATTATTCACAGAAGTGCACTTTATATTGGAACTGGAGCTGTGGCTATCGCTCTTATTCAGGTTTGTACTTATTATGTTTACTATTATTATAATTTGGAGAAATTCAAAATAATTTTAAATAAATTAGCATATAAATAAATTTCTAATCTTTCTGCAATTTTAACGATGTATCATTTCTCGAAAATGTTTTTTAATGGATTTTATTTTCAGTTAACCGGAATAATGTTTGCCTGCATGTTGGGCCGAGCAATTAGAAGACAGAAAACAGAAAGGGAAAGACGTAGATGGGAATTAAGGGAGAGTTTGGTCAATGGTTATCAACCACTGGGGAAATCAGATCCTTTTACTACTTTTCCCGTTGTTTACATGTCCTCTGAGCCCTTGAAGAACCCATAGTATTTCTGTTGTTTTCTAATTATTAATGATATATTTTTTTTATACATAATGTCCAATTTGAATCAATTTAATATTATCCTTGAGAACTATTTGGAATTTCAAAATTCTTACATAAGGTGACATCATAATGAAGAATACACAATCTGACATATTTGATTTTTTGTAGATAATTGTAATTCGTAGATTTCAAGATCAATTTCTTTTTCTAAATAAAACTATATATTTTTTTTTACACACTCATTGATAAACCTATTTACTTTCTACAAAAAAGTATTAAAATTTTCATA